AATTCAACATGCAGGTTGCCGCTTCTTTCTATTCATACTTAATATTTTATTTTGGATCACAGTGTGAAATGAAGCTGCGGCATAAAATAGTCCGTCAATTTTAGCCTCATTCGGAGGCATTTGCCTCTTATGACCAAATCGTGTATAGCTTTAGGGATGTGCATAACCAACGAAACTTAAAGTTAAAGATAGACACATTAGGGTTAGCCACAAATGTGAAACCTGGGATGTAACATCAACATAACTATCTATCTTTGCTATGTCATTATGTAATTTTTGTGATATGGTTATGTCTGGAGAGACTCTATTTATAACTGACTAGTTAATTTGGTTATTCATGCGCCTAAAATATCGCTCGTCAAAAGTTTAAATCTTTAATTTGTCCTAGAGCTCGAAGTAACATAAGTCCAATTTGAAGAAATTAACTGTGAGAAATCCTTTTCACCATTTTTATGTTAGAATAGGACGACTAGGTCATCCTTAATTAAGGCTGTTTTGTTTGCGAAAATTTCCACATTTTAATGAGTGATCTTCGCAAAGCTTAATATTTCAAATGCACAACCTCTATGAAATGTGCACTGTGCAAGTATATGAAGTCAGCATTGAGAAGTCAAGGTAAATCTATTAGTAGAATAGCCTGTAATGAATCTAACAGTGAAGTGGACAGAAAAAGAGTAGGCAAAATTTTAATACCAGCTTTGATTTACTGCTGTCACATTTTGTATTCTTGAAACGGAAATGAGCAGATTGAACGCTTAGGTCTCTTTTCGGCTCCTGGTCAATTCATCTTACTCCTTGGTTGAGGCAGTATCCGTATGTCATTTCAGTTGAATTTTAATATCAGCCACCTCCAATAACTTTCAATATCAAATTCAAGATGGCGGTATCTTAAAGGGTATCTTTGATCTTCTCCTTTTCCTGAAGCCAAACATACTGATATCTTTAATTTCACTTTTATATTTTAGTTACCTGCTAGTACTGTCACAATCCGGTTGGGCGTCTAGCTTTAGTTGGTCACCAACTACACAACCAGCGCTTCAGCTAGCACGATTTACCGTTGATTTGCCAGGTGAGTGCCACATTCTCTCCCATAAGATAGCGATACCGGTGGAGCAGGTGTCCCGCCGTGGTCGTGCTATAAGACCAGTGAGCTGGATAATAATAATTTGGACGACTTGATGCCTTTACTTAGGATATAGGTCCTGACAACTTTGGGTAGCCTACACGATTGCTTTACCTTACCATGACTTGCCCAACCTTGTCTCACCACAAATGGATCACCTTCTTCCCGCTCAATGGTCTTTTCCCTCTTTACACCTGCATTGGTGTAGACAGAATGAGCAATCCCTATCATTATGAGCAACACCATTTCATTGGCGACACCAGTGAATAAAAAATATCTATGTATAACAAGTGATATTGCTATTTGAATTACAGCGCATTTGGCACGTGGTAGTTGGGTTCCCACTGATGTCTTGGTATCGAGTGTTTTAACCCTCAGGTTGGATTTTGTTTTTATGTGTCCTAAGCACATGCGGTTTAATACGAGCACGTCCATCCATCAAACCCAACCATCTCGTGTCACTTCTATAACACAAACGTCGCTGTTTTACTACGCCTTTTTATGACTTCAAGGTTTTGCTTTCTCCGATGGCACTAATGTCTATCAAATAGGACACTCATTAGACATTTAAAAGGGGGATATTCATGTACCTCTGTCAGACAAAAGTGCTATTTTATATGTATATGGAGAAGTGACAATTTGGTTTATGGGATCGGTCACCTTATAGAAGGGACTTTCATGAAATGCCATTGCACACATATCAGCGACATGCCTCCAAATCTATTTAATACATTCTGGTTGTCCCCTGCTTCTACTATGTATAAAAATCTTGGCATGTGATACTATTTCATTCCATCAGTAATTTGTGCATTACTTGATGGGACTAATCTGAAAGTGATTGTCTGAAGTATGGGGTAAGAAATGTGCCATGAAAGTCTACTTTTGAGAGTGGTAATGTTGATGTCTGGGGCACGATGGAGTCCCTATTCTATCCATGGTGTTAATTATTTCGCTGTAAACTTAACGATAGCGAAGACAGGAATTATGACCATTACCGCTGTTTTACCTATACCTGCATCTCTAAAGCCTTTCGCACATTCATACTTTGTGTGTGCCATTATTGAATAGGTAGACAGTTTCTCAATCTACCCTGTTGAGTGGCAAGAAGTGTCCCTTTAAAAACATGGCACTGTTCCTCTGAAGTTCATGTAGCTTTGGAACGATTTCCAAACATGCCCTGGGTCGGGTCGAATGGAGTTTCGCATAAGTGTCGACTAAAAACTGTTTGAGAATAGGGCTTTTCAAGGCATCATCAGGTGCTCTACCTACGCCAAATCTAGGGTCTCAGTTGACACAGAAAACTTCTACTGACCATGTTGCAAGCATAAGTGGCATGCAGCCCCCCATGTCCTGGTCCTCAACATCCTTCCTATTGGAAGTAGTGTATGTAAGGACAGGCACGCATCGTTCACAAGCTACTGCAAAAACAAAGTAGGTTCACGAAAATGTCTGAGTAGTTGGTGTTATCCGCATAAATGAGTAACAGCCAAACTAGTAAACAGAGATCATTAAATGAGGCCCGCTCAAGCGCAACATGGAAACATCTGGAAAAGTTGAGAGGGAGTTAGTGACCAAGATGTATCTTGTCCAATTATAGCTCACCCTGTTTGTAGCAACTAGTGCTGTAGGCGGGAGAGAATAGTTGGAAGGTTAGCATGTTCATTATATGAAATTCATTTTTCGTAATATTTTGATAATATATAATGTGCGAAAGCTGCTTTGCAGGTAGTTATGCCAGTGATGAACAAAATAACCAGTTGCCTAACTTAAAGAAAATTATGTATGAATACACATGCCTCGGCAATAGCATGATTAAGCACAATTTGCATCTCATGCAATTTGTAGACTCTACTAACACCATAAAAAGTTAAAAGCTAAAAACACTAGTGCGCCAGCAGTAAATAGCTTGATTTAAAGGAGTGAGACCAACCTCACTTGTTACATTAGGCCAAGTTCCCTTCTTCCAAAAGTATTTCTATGTAATACGGATAACCATTACTGGCTGAACAGTGAAGTCCGGTGCTTACATTTTTGTCAGTGTATGAAATCGATAAACTGTTTATTAGTGATCTTTATGAGCTGCCGCATGAAGAGAAGGGCACCACGACTACCTATGGTTTCCATTAGGATCAGCCAAAGAATTGAAAATTAATATTTACATCTGTTTAGTTTTAACGTCTGGTTTCTTTGAGATTTTATTGAGATTTCAAGAAAGATTCTGGGAGTAGACGTAAAGGCCATTTAGAGTAATTATTTTGTCCCCCCACTATGGGTCCTCTGACTGGCTAATTGAAATAGCAACTATTGGATGTGCCATGTGATAAACTGAAAAACTACGATGCTAAACGCGACTTACACCAAGTCGCAAGAACAAATCATATCAGAAATACTGTTCATGAAATCACCTTATCTAAACGGAGGCGGTACTTTAGCTTCTATTTACATTAGCCTACTCATGCATTTATAAATAATCCAGTACACTGAGAACAGCACTTTATTTCGATGCAAGATGGTTTGATAAGAAATGTATGTAATTTTCTAACCAAGGGCAGATATGGAGGACCGAAGTTCACCTTTAAGCATTGTTTTAGCTTGACTGATTATTAGATTTTTAAACAATCCAGCCCCTATAGGCAAAAACCCTATATAGACA